ACAGACTCCCCCCACGCTCTGCCGGGAACTCACCATGCCGCACCATTAGGGGGGTCCTGCCCAGACCTGGCACCCGCACCCCTGGCTGCCCCTGCCACCAGGGCTATTGACGACTCCTTCCTTCAGCTGGAGGCAGGCTTCAGCCAGCATGGCGGGTACCTTCCCCGTCCTCACCAGCGGGTGCTGGGGAACCCCAGAGCAGCGGTCGGCAGGCTTTGGGCTCCACGCACGCCTGTTAGCACAAGGACGCTGAGCGGCCGTCCTGCCCCGTGTGCGCTCAGTGCCGGCCGCTCGCGTGCTGCTGTCCGCTCGCTGTGAAACGCACCAGGGCCCCAGTCCGGAGGGACGCCCGCGGGGCCGCTCAGCTGCTTGAGCTCCTGACTCTTGATTTCGTCTCGGGTCACGGCCGCAGGGTCGCGAGAGGGAGCCTCTCATCGAGCCGCTCCTGGGGCCCCAGACTCGGTGGGGAAGCTGTGTGTCTCCCTCTCCCTCTGCCTTTCCCCCTCCCAGCGCTCTCGCTCCCAAATAAATAAATAAATACATGTTTTTTGGTTTGTTTTAAATCTTAAGTTTTGTAATAACAGTAACTGTGACTAGAAGCTCTGGTCACGTCCTCCCACCGTCCCAGTGGAGCTCGGTGTGCCCGTGCCTCCGACCAGAGGGGCCCAGGACAAACGTGCGACCTGCCCGCAGCTCCGTCCACCACGTGGGCTCGGCCTGGGAGCTCGGGTCAGCCCCACACTGTGGCTCCCACTGCAGACTGCGTCCCTACTCGTTCCTTAGGGCTGCGGCCCCCTGCCAGAGGTCGTCAGGGTGTGGGGGGAGGAGAGGCAGAGGAGGGGGCTCTCCTCACTTCCTGGCTCCGGATGGCGCGGACCAGAGCGAGGTAGCCGTCCGGGACGCGGGCCACAAGGGGAGAGGAAAGAGGCCTCTGCTGATCCTGGAACAGGAAAGGTGGCTGTGGGCAAGAGGAAGAAGGCGCCAGACGCCGTTTCCTCCGGTTCTGGGGGCAGGGCCTCCAGAACCCAGTTTCTCATGAAAATACCGATATGTAGAAATTGCCGGAAATTCACACCGTCGCCTTAGAGGCCTGCTGGCGGGCTGGCTGTGTGCGGAGCTCGGAGCCGCGGGCCGGGAGTCTGAAGGGATCCCATTAAACAGGCTGGAGGTGCTTTACAAAACCTGCCTTGGGATCACAAGCCAGCATGTTTTCTCCCTGTTCTGCGAGGCCTTTCTGCCGCCTGTGGGGAGACACGCCTTCGTCTGGGAGCCGGCAGGAAAGCCCACTTCCCCAGCCCGCCGCCCGGGGCAGGGCTCTCCGCAGCCAACCTGCCGCGCGTGACCAGGGTTAATGAGGGGCTTCCTCGGATGGGCTCTGGGAGGTCCGTGGGAGGCGGGCGTGCGGCCAGGAGAATCCCCGAGAACGCGGAGGGCCAACTGGCAGGCCTGCAGCGCAGGATGGAAGCCGCTCCGGGCTCCGGGAAACATGCCTGCGCTGCCCCCGCCTTCCCCGGGGCAGACGCACCGCGTGACCGCTCACTCCCTCTCCTTCCTCAGAAGGAGGAAACGTGAAAAACCTTTACTGTCACATAAAAGCCAACCTAAGATATGAGAAATGCCTTCTAAAATGCGTCTCGCTGGAGAGGGGTCTCCATAGCAACTTCAGAAGCACGTGCACAACCAGAGAGGAGTCCAGGCTGGCGAAGGGCGCCCGCACGGGAGCGAGCTCTGGGCATCAGCAGGCGGGAATGTTCCAGAACCCGTTGTGCTGCTAGGTGGGCCTGTGCAGGTCACACACCCTCTGTGCCGTCGTGGGTGCCAAAGCCTTCCTCGGGTCCGCTGAGCCACACCCAGGCCCCCTTGCCCGCATCGCCCCCTGCCCGGCCTGCCATCCCCCCAGAGCAGCCTTGCATCCAGTTTCTGTCCAGCCTGTGCTCAAGTGGCTCCTGTGTCGAGGTCTCTGCCCCCCACCCTGTACTGGGAAAGGACAGGGACCCTCCCCGCTGGATTCCAAAGAAAACTGCTTGGTCACGGTAGCAGAAGTGCTTCCCTGAGCCGCAGGAGCCATGCTTACTGACATGCCTTTCACAGGTCTGGAGGTCACACTCCTGAGAGTCTCACCAGGAGCTTTACTGGGCTGCTCTCAGCTCAGCCCCCGGGGGTCCCGGGGGGGGGGTGGTGCAGAGGGAACGGTGGAGCACCAGACAGCCAGAGGGGGCCTGGGGCGACCCTTCAGGGGCCCTGGAGCCAGGAAGGCCCTGCAGGGACTGTCCTGCAGGAGGTGAGGGGCCGGGGCCTGGGCCTTCACACTCACAAGGGACCGGGCCTGGATGCCTGTGGCCCCGGGCTCCGTTCTTGACTTGGCCGAGGCCGCTCCCTTCAGCCAGGATGGTTCAGGGGAGGGGCCCGGCCATCACCAGCCCCTGCAGGAAGGCCAGTGGTCCAGAGTGGGCATGCAGGGGGGGGGCACACGGCGGTCATGTGTGAATTTACCACGGAGTCAGCTCCAAAGACAGCAATTAAGGGCAAGGGCACAGACAGCAGAGGCCTCGGTCCAAGAGCCAACCTGAGCGACCGTGAGACTCGCCGGCCAGGGAGCCCCCGGGAGAGTCCAGGCCACAGCGACCCTGTAAGTTCCAGCGTCCACTGGGGGTTGGGGGACAAATAGGCTCCAGGTTCAAACTGACTCTGCACTTCCTGACCCTGCGACCTGGGACCTCTGCTTGTGTTTCCACAGTTCTAAGGAGGGAACAGTCACGGCGCCTCTACCTCTGGCCAATGGACGGCAAGAGGTGACCCTCAGGAGGCATGCCGCCCAGGACCTGCGGGACAGTGACACCCACCGAGGCTGTGACGTCCTCGGGTTCCGCCAGGACGGAAGCCGTTTGGTCGAAGGGCCTTTCCACAGGACAAGGGGGACCGGCACGAGGACGGGGATTTGCTCGTTGACTCTCGGGCTCTGCTGGGACTGTGGGCAGAGGCCTGATGGGCTGCGGGGAGTGGCAACCCAGCCTCTGCTCAGAGGCCTTGGTGGGCGGGTCAACGCCAAATGAAAGGTAACGGAGCGCTTTGCAAACTACGCGCTTGGAAGCGTGCCTGTTTTGGGGTAAAAAATGGTCCCCACCTGACGGCAGTTTCAGTAAACCATGACACTCACTCGCAGACACTTTGCGCTCAGTGCATGGCTCGCCCGGACAGCGGCGTGAGCGTAGACGCCAAGAGGGCGCAATGTGAGTCGTGGGAGACTCCAAACACCCTAAGGGATTTGCAAATTCGATCATGGTTGTTGGAAGACTCAGCTCCAGTCGACCAGAAAGCAGAACAGCAAGGCGGGGCCCTGCCTGTGGAAGGACCGGCCGGTTCCCCTCCACGAAGAACCGCAGAACTCCTGACAGTCGCCACGGCCGACCTCCACCCTCGCCGCCCCGCAGCGGGCAGGCCCACACGCTCCCTCACTTCTTCCAGCAACAAAGCCTGGAAGGCAGGACCACGACCCCAGCTTGCAGGGACAGAACGGGGTCCGGAGAGGTACAGTGACCAGCACAATGCTGCTCAGCCCAGAGTATGTCAAGGGATTTCAGGCTGGAATCCAAGCACCAGGTTCCACCCGGGAAAGGCTCATGAAGCCCCCCCCCCCCACCAAGAGCAGATGCTGCAGGCTCAGCTGCCACAAGGCGGGGTTCCGAGGAGGAGGGCATTACGAGTCTCCGGGCCTCTGCACACAAGAAGTGTGTCCCCACCCTGCACCGGCTCGCAGGGACCACCCTGTCCTGCTTAGGGGTCCTTGTGGCTGCAGAAGGGACCCCTCTTGATCTGACTGTGTGTCTGCTGGACATTTACCTGCAAACGGAACATCTCCAAACAGGGGGATCTGGCTCAACACACACACGTGAGAAGTTCTCGGCTAACTCTCCTCCACCCTGTCTCTCTTGCTCTGTCTCTGCCGGGACGCGTGCTGGAAGACTGGCCCCACGGCCATCAGCAGACTGAGGGGCGCTGCCGGTCCGTGCAAACCGCCCAGGGTCTTGCCCGGCCTCCCCACGTGATCAAAGTAACTCCTGTCAAGCGAACTTCTCCTCCTTCCTTCTCGAGAGATCCTCATTTCAAAACAAGGACCCTGAGCCCCAGACAGGTTCAGGGACTTGCCCGAGGCCTCACAGCAACTTAGGGAGAGAATCCAGATGTGTTCAGACTCCACATGGGAAATCAGATTAGAATGAATACCCAGGGCTAGCTGGAGAGGGACAGGAGTCACCAAGGGCAGCGCGGGGGGGTTGGTGGAGGGAGGGGCCTCGTCCGGGCTGTGAGGCTCAGGGAGGGCAGTTCAAGGGCCCGCGCTCCGCAGTACGGGCGGGTCTCCACGGGCCGCGTCCTCCCACTTGCCCAGCACCAGCTCCTGAAATGGTGTTTCCCAGAGTATGCTCTTGCTGCATCGAGCTTCTCAAAATTTTAGTTGCACGCGGATCACCAGATGACCTTGTTAGCAAATTCTACCAGTAGCTCTGGGATGACGCCTGAGTTCCACGTCCTGACAAGTTCCCAATGATACCGATGCCGCTGGCGTGTGGACCGCACACTGGGGACCCACCCCTCAATAGCGCACAATGAAAAGGGTTTTGGGGTGAATACTTATGAGACTATCTGGACTAAACAAACTAAACCAGATTCCTTACTATAGGCCTTGTCGAAGGCTTGAAGATGCTGGTGAGGGGAAGGGATGATGCAGAACTGGCAAGTGTCGCCGTGAGAAAGAGCGAGCAACGACACAGAGCACGTGAGCCAGCAGTTTGCAGAGGCCTGGACTGCGCCCGGCTCCCCGCTCACCTGGCTGCACCCCTGCCCCCCGTCTCCTCTCCCCAACCGGGCGCGGGGGCCCTGCTGGTCCTCCAGCCTGCGCGTGTGCGTGTACACCCCAGTCCCCAGGAGCGCGCGCCCCGCCCCCGCCCCCAGCCCACCCGGGAGCGCGCGCCCCCGCCCCCAGCCCCCGGGAGCGCGCCTACCTTTCACACACGCGCACGGTCCAGGCAGCGATGATCCACAGTGAGATGCTGAAGACCAGCAGCACCGTGCCGGGGCAGATGGTCATGAGCGTCTTCATGACGAAGCGCGTGTTGAAGTTGATCTTGTTGAGCGCGCCGATGCTGCGGGACGAGGCGTCGGTGAAGAGCTTGCTGTGCAGCAGCATGACGCGCGCGATCAGGTAGAGGCGCAGGAACATGGGGATGGACAGGATGATGTCCACGTCGGCCTCCGCCCGCGACGGCGCGTAGGAGAAGGCCAGGCGGGCGGTCCAGAAGAACTTGTACTCGCCGGGGATGGGGTGGATGGCGCACACCAGCATCTCCAGGCTGATGTGCAGGATCCGCTCGTAGGTCATGGCGATGCGCCAGTCATCCGCGCCGTTGTCGATCACGAAGAGCTGGCGGGAGCACAGGGCCGTTAGAGGGGCGGCGGCTTGTCTGGGGGCGCTCTGGGGGGCCCGCCTGTGCGCTCCGGCCTGCTGGCCTCTCCAGACCGCTTCCCCCGCCCGTGGCCTGAAATAGCTCTTCCAGGAAGTGCCGGAGGAGCGGCGGGTCTCGCTCAAACTGGCCCCTGCCCGGCCCTGGAGGGGGTGTGGAGATGAACGAGTCATGCTTCCTACCCGGCAAACCCCCGGGGGGCTTCGGAGAAGGAGCCCCGGCCGCCTGAGGGTCCCCGTGAGGGCCCTGGAGCCACACTGCCTGGGGAAGGATCCCAACCCCAACGTGAAGGAGCGCTGTGACTGGGTATGTCATCGAACCTTGCTGTGCCGCGGGCCGGCCCTGTGACGCGGGCCGGCCCTGTGATGCGGCCCTGGGTCCGTGCACTTGGGGGCCAGAAGCCCGCCTGGCGTCCCGGAAGCCTTCACCGTGACTGCTGTTAGCACCACAGGTGGACGCGCTCAGGGCCGACAGACCGCCCTCGCCCTCCTGGCAGCTGAGACCCCTGCGGCCATGCCAGGAAGGTGAGCCCGTGCTGTGTGGCCGCCATGGCCGATGATGGGGCCCACACACCGGACAGGCCCAGGCCTCAAGGAGGTCCCACCTGAGAGTCCAGGCTAAACAGAACAGCTCTGAGCTATTCCACAAGGGGAACTAGAAGGCACTGTGGGGCCAGCGGGGCTCATCGGGGCTCATGAGGAAGGTGTGACCCATAGCTAGGAGAGGTACTCATCAGCCCAGCGTCCCGCCAGCACACCCCTCCCGCCTTCCCCAGTGCAGCTGAGCCGGGGCTTGGGGTTAGCCTTCCAGACACAGCTTTCCACCATCTGCAGACACAGAAAAGCCCTAAATGGCTGCTCAGTGGGTCCCCTCTGCTCCTAACTGCCACCAACGGGCCAAGCCATGGCAACGTGACTGCTGGCCACACTCTTCAAACAGGAAATGAAAACCATCCGCCCTATAATAAAGAACTGCATCGGGTTACTATAGTAACCGGGGTCCCCGTGGGCAGGAACCTCTGTGACTCCCTGATGGGGAGCGAGACTGCAGCCCTCCGTGTTCCGAGAGAGCACATCACGGCTCTGCCCAGCTTGCCAGGAAGGGGCTGGTCTGGGGGCACGGACACCCCTGCCTCATGCGTGTGCTCTGCCGGGTTCGGTTTCCTCGTGCAGGAGGAGGGGTGGGGGGCCATGGGGCACAGCGGGCGAGTGACACGGAGGGCTCCACGTCCACTTCTTAGCTGCGCAACCTTCAGTGGGCCGTACGCTGCTCCAAGCCCATCTCCACCTCTCCGCCACGGAGCTCTTCCTTTCAAGCCTGCTGACCTTGTGGGACAAGCACTGGGCCCGGCAGTGCAGACGACAGGAGGACATGTGCTTCAGCAGCCACTCCGGAATGGCCAGGGCCTCATCACCACGTGTGCGGGGTGTTGGGGTGGGCTGGGCATGGAGCTGGCTACAGATAGCCTCTGCCAGCTGGGGCACCAGGCCTGGGCACTGGGGGTCTGCAGGGTAGCCGATGTGGCCCAGGAGACTGCACTGCTGTCCCACACGAGGACCCCCTTATGCCCACTGGAGTCCCGGAGCAGACCCCACCTCTCGACCTGGTGGTCCCCTACACACTGTGTTCTCACTCAGCTTCCTGTGAGTCCCTGACACACGGCAGAGCTCGGGGTGCACTTGCTTCCTGTCTGGCTCTCCCTGGGACGCTAGAACCACTGGGAGAGTTTGTGGAAACAGTTGGATCGGATCTCTGAGTGGGAGGCACCAGCTCTGGGATTTTTGTTGGAGCTCCCCAGTGGACTGAAGTGTTTCCCGGACTGGGAGTCACCAGCACAGGCCTCCCGAGGGATAGGGGCTGCGTTCTCCTTGTTCCCTGGGGCATCACCAGTCCCCAGCCCCGTTCTGCACTTGGAGCAGGTGTTGGGTGGACGCGTGTTTAGTGTCTGGGGGACAGCGGCTTACTGGGGGAGCCCGCGGGGTGAGCGCCCCTCTCTTGGGCTCAGTCTCCTCCTCTGAGGAGGCAGGCGCCGGCCAGATGGTCCCCAAGATGCCATCTCCTCTGAAGACCGTCTGGCTCGGCGCCTCCCTCCTGTGTGTCCAGGGGGCTCGTGAGCTCTCCGGCGACAGGACCTACTCCTGGCATGCGTCCTCCCTCTCCAGCCCCCAGGAGGGCAGCGGGCGCACTGTGGGCAGGCACAGGATTTCAGCGACTAAGTGGTGTGTAGCAGGATGACTATGTTATGTGAAAAAGAGGACAGATGGCCTGGGCCCCTTGTCGACCACCCGGGATGGGAATTCCTGTGGAAAACTCGTTCCTAAGCCTGTGACCAATGAAGTACCTAAGGGTTCACCTTAGCCACGGACTGGGCACCTCCTTTCCCAGGGGGTGCTCCAGCCAGACTAAATGAAGCCTTAGAAAGTTCTGGATCTACTCCGGAACAGGGCTCTTGAGAGCGCTGGCCCAGAGGGGTGAGAGGAAGGGAGAAGCAAGTCCAGCAAAGGACCGTCCTCCCCTGAGGTGTGGTCCCAGCCACACAGCCAGGGTTCCGCAGCACCCTGTTTGAGAATGGTGGAAGCACGCTGAGGGGATGTTGGGGCCTGGCCTGGGGCAGGGGCGCCAGGGAGCCCTGGAGAGCTCAGCTATGGGCAGTCACTGAGCAGCCACCTCCAAGGCCCACGCTGACCAGTGGGTTTTCTTCTACTGTGGTTCCTCACACTGGTTTCCCGGGGTGGGGGGGTGCCCCACGGTCCCCGTTGCTGGGACTTTCTTCCTCCTAAGTCTCCAGGAGCGATCTCAGCCCGTTGGGCCTGGCCGGCCGGAGGGAGCAGGGTGCAGGGCAGGCCCGCAGGCCCGGGTCTCTCCTGCCGCGACGGCGCCCTCGCCTCAGGCTTTCCAGCCTGTGAGGGTCACCCCAGAGCTGTGGGACGGGGATTTAACATGACAGAAAGGTCCCATGTGTCCCTTCGCAAAGCTTGGACTAGAGGGAAGGGAGAACCAAGTCAGCTCGACTCCGTTCTACAGAACAGTTGGCAAGAGCCGCCGGCCGGCGCTCCTGGACTTGCAGTGGGGTCCCTGCCCGGCCCCACCCGGCGGCTCGGCCTGGCCAACCCTGACCAAGCTCAGAACCCCAGTGCCGGCTGCGGTCTGCGGCCTCACCCGCAAAGCCCACTCTGCACCGGAGCACGGGCTGCCTCCCGCCCTGGAAACGCCGCCGGGGAAGGGACGAGCCCTCGGCTGTGCGGAGACAGAGTGCCCACCCGCACTGGTGGTCTCCCCGGGGTCACGCCTGGCCCCAGCAGCCGCCACGCACCGTGACCGAGGACCATATCACGTGTCCCTGGCCGGAGAAAAGACCCATCTCCGAAGTTCAGAGTGTGCTCGCCAATGAGCGCACGCCCTTTCGTGGCCGCGTGAAGCAGAGCCCTATGAGTCAGGCCGTCCTGAGTCGGGGACCCTGGAGGTGAGCTAAGGAAGGGGCTGTCCCGTGCACTCCCCCACCGAGGAGGCAGTGATGTGGGGACTGGTGTCCGCGAGCCGGACTGTGGCGGTCATTCCACAGCGCAGACTGCAACGTCTACAGTTTTATGTGTCGATTATTCCTCGATAGAAAAGAACCGACCAGGTGAGGACACGGCGGGGGGACACGGTGGGGACACGGTGGGGACTTAAACACGAGTCCGACACTTGTCCAGGAACCAGCTGGGGACCTCACGTAGCTCTGACATGAGACGCAGGGCCAGGGCGCGCCCAGGAAGCTTCTGGGGCGAGGCAGGGCTGGGATCCCGTCTCGCACGCGCGTGTGCGGCTGCTCGTGCAGGTGGCCCCCGGCCCGCTGGCTGGCTCCTTCACACAGTGCTTTGCCTCTCCTCCCAGCGCGAGGGGCCGTCGCCTCTCAGCCCCTGCGATCTGAACCCGGCCACGTGCCTGGCTTTGGCGTACAGCAGGGGTCAGGAAGGGTCCGTGCCGTGGAGCCTGCTTTGGACACCCTGTTTTCCCCGTCGCCCCTGCCTGCCTCCCACGCCAGCCCCATGACCCCGGGGAGACCAGGCCAGATCGCCAGCCCACAGATCATGACGGATTGAGGGTCGTCTCAAGACACCATCTGGGGGCGCCTTCTTATGCCACAAAAGGGACATGCCACAAACCTGGCTCGTGCACTTAGGGAGCAGGCGTGTGGGAAGAGTGCCCCCCCTTCCCTCCAGCGTGTCACGGCGCTGGCCCCCTCCTGCCCCTGCACGCTCCCCAGTCCGGGCAGGACAGTCTGGCTGCCATCACGGAGCAACGGTCTGGGGACGGGACCATGACAAGAGCACGCCAGCTCCCCCCACCCCTGCCCCATCCTGGAGACACGCCATCTCACAGGCCTGCGCCTGACCCCACGCCGCGTCGTCACTTTGCCTGCAAAGTGCTCCTCCCCCGTGAGGGAGTCAGCTGCAGACAGAGTCAAGTGAAAAGGCAAGACAGCATTTTCGGGTGTGCACGGGGGAAACCTGCAGCGAGTTCGGGGGAGCCGAGTCTTGCTGGCAAATCTGGGGGTTAGCCGAGGAGTAGCAACGAGCAAAGGGGTCCACGTGGCGCTCTTCCGTTGAACGGCCCGTCCGAGGTCTGGAAAAGCTCCGACTTCCGTTATTTACGAATTCTCCAGAAATCGTCATGTTGGAGCTGAGGCTCACAACAGAGAGCAGGTCCCTCGCCGGTGGCCCAGCCGTGGTCTAGCCATGGGCGTGCTGCCTCGGTCCCCAGAACCGGCCCCCGCCCAGGGCCAGCTGGTCCCCTCAGGACAGGTGTGCGGCAGCTCGAGCCCACGGGGGTCAGCGATGGGGCCGGGACAGGCAGGTGGGGGCCCGCCCGGAGCTCCCCTATCACCCTGACGGCAGAGCACCTGCCTTTCCCACACGGGAAACCAGCCTTTTGGGGTTTTTCCTTTTAGGCAAAGTGAGTTTGGAGTTGATTCACT